TTTATATATATGCCAAATTACCAGAAGTTACTCGAGCTTCTAACGAAATTCAAAAGAGGCAACTCGAATAGCGATTACCCAATTCACCTAAAACTCCCAAACACTTTTCCTTAGAGAAAGGACTTAAAAGAATTCAAAATATCAATACTACTAAAATCCCTACTATGCAAAATCTTGCAGATGTAATTATGATGTTGAGTATAAGACTTGCCGAAGTTGCCACTCTTCGTATTATCCATTATGAACCCAGTGAATCGAATCCTCCTAAATAGTACAAGCCTGGTTATTCTTGGTATTGTATCGGATATATTAAAAATAAAGAAGAAGCAAAAAATAATCCTGAACCTCGACAATTTCTATCTATGGAAAAGAATCCAGAACATGCAAAAGAATTGCTTACTGGATCCAAGATGCAATAGCAACTGAAAAGTTACACAATCCTGTTTATAGTATTAATGGAAAACGCAGTAGAGGAGTATTTAATAAATTTTTAAAATCATATGGTATTATAGCCAAAAGATTAAGAAAAATTGGAGATAAACATGCTTCTAGAGTTTATGGTGGTCAAAATCCAACTTCGCAACATCTTGAATTTCTTAGCAGAGTTGCAATGAGGCATAAGATGGATTGTCATAATTCTGAAATGTATTATGCCAAGAGTGATACTTCTGATTCTGACCTTAACACAGATCCAGAACCTGAACCTGAAGCCCTAGCTTCCACACCCAAGGTAATTAATAAGAACAAGTGATCATCTGATATATTTACATTTTAAAACTGCTAAATCTATATAATTATTTTCACTATATAAGTATCGAATTATACCCCATTGGGTAATGGGTCCTCTGCTTTCAACCCACATCTGGCACGCGATAAATCTGTAAAAAAGTAGTGATTATAATTAGCAATTTTTAATAATGTAACACAATGAAAAAGATTAACACAAACATACTAGCCCATATTAAATAATTACTTACCTATGTTTCCCTGCCTCTTATCACAAGATCTTTCTGGTATCTTGGTTTGACTTTTTTTTGGTTGGGAGAGTGTAATTCGGTTATTCAAATCTCGTGCGTTATTGAGATCTTGCCAAGAGATCGTAGAAATAACTGTCCTACATACATCTCTTTTAATACCTGCCTCTAGATCTTCATATATCGACGAAATAAATGATACTATATTAGATTCGTGTAATTAATATATAATGGTAAATCAAATTTTTTGTGTGATATCAGACAAGGTTCAACATATGAACAAATCTTAGTCTAGGGCTACGATCTATTAAATTACATGCGGTAGCGATATTATGCATGTCTTGGATGAATCGATCGATCACCATAAAATAATACCCAAACTTATCATATTTTTGCTCAAACTTTCTAGCATATTCTCAGTAGCATATACGTAGTAGACCATTTGGGTTATGATTCAGAAAATCGCCTAATGGCTTGCTCTGCAATACTTGGTCTATATATCGAAGTTGCTATAGAAGTTTTTATATTATAAAAAATGATATGTTAGTCTTGCTACTTCTACTAATAAAATAGGATAAATTTGTCAATGATCGATTATACATGACTTTACTGTTAAATATACTTGGAGTGGTAAAATTATATCCGATGTCTAACCAAAAATTGAGTAGCATTACGAAAGTCAAATTCTAAATAAGATTGTATATTGCCCTAATGTTATTTCAGAAGTCGGTTATTAATTGTATATGATGATTATCATTGTAATTGTAAATATTTATCAGATATACTAGTTTTAATAAATGTTATTTATCTTACTCAGCATTACCCAGACCATGTATTGTTAAGTCTCTAGATCCAGGTCTTTATTCTCAAAATCGAAATTTATGCTATGTTTTTGATAATAAATCAATAATAACGCGATAATAATGTAATTCATATTTTTTTCCAGTATGTTCTGGCCTTTACCAACAGAGACAACGAATCAAATTCTAAGTCGTGAAATCTTGTATAAAAAGGATCCAAAAATCTTTAGTTATTCCTTCTATGCTCTTATTAGTAATATCTGTAAAAATAAACTATTTAATAAGCTTTCGCATCTCGTATCTAAAATAATAATATTTTTCAACATAGTAATCTCGCTAAGAGCAACAAAATAAACTCCACTAGTTTCACCCATTTCATATGAATTAAGGTTGATTTTGAGTTGCATATTTGCTGGATTATTATCCATACTCATGTATCTATACTAATAATCTTTTTTCCTATTATAGATATATCTTTGGTTAATGTTTCAGAAGTTGTCCCATTTTTGGCCTTTGTGTGCCTATTGATGTTCGCTGAGAAAATTCCTGTCCATCTGATTTCTGTTGCCACGTGCTTCGCCATGTATGTTGTCAAACAACAACTTACCACGGAATTCAATGCACATGTGAAAAGATTAACTGTGGATCTTACAACATGGGATGCCATATTTGTGGTCGAGGGACAGAGAATCCTGACAATGGTAGATACTGTAATTGAAACCGTTAATGAAATCACCACCAATTATGAATCTCTTCGTGACCAGTTGGACCAAATAACTGAGATGGGTTCTGTGGCACCATTAATATCTGAACAATTTGCTGGCCTATCCGTATCTACATCCAATTTTTCTCAAAGATCTTCTGGTTCTTCTCTGGGTTCTTCTAGTGGCTCAAGTACTTTAAATAAAATAGATACTTGGATAGATAGTAAAAATAATTTTAACTTAGCTAATAATACGGAGTAGTGGGAAGGAACTCTCATTTTATGGGTTAGAGCTCGAAAAATTCCTCCCTTTAAACATCTGCTACTCCAATAATCATTTTTACTTAACTGGCCCGGGCCTATCTATAAAATTAATAAAGTTATATTTGTAATTTGATTTTTAAATGCGTTCATTCAAGAATTTTATTTACCTCATCAGGAAGATTAAATTTTAGTAGCGGGTAAAAATGATGCATACTGTTTAAGATCGATGAGAAAAATTTTGAATAAACATGTACTTACTGAATAAATTAGAAATTCTTTATATTATGCATAATTTGTTTGTAAACACAGTTCTGTATAATAAAAAAATTAGCCACAAATACAAAGTGTCATTTTTTTCATTTTTCTGAGTACCCTAACCTCATCGCGACAAATACAAGAAACTTATAATTTTCAGTAGTGTATAGACACATAGTACATTTTCATAATTCGCAATACGTAATAGATGTTAAACTTTAAAATGGAAGTTCATAGAAATTCCGCATGCATAATTTATTTAGTTATTGCAGAACCCCAGAATGACCTAAACTAAATTCGGTCAATAGATTACATTTTATTGTCATTATAATAAGATCATGCCTTGCAATAACTAGTTAGTGCTGGTTGTCATACAATTATATTAAAACTTTATACCTATATGCGTTTGTGGTGCGATTGTCGTAAATAATCTGGGTGCCTAATTTCTATTTGAGGTTAAATAAAGCGTTTTGATATGCGACCAGAAATAAATATAAATCTAATGAAAATAAGAGTTTTCGACACATTCTAAAAATGGTTTTTCGGCATGTTTTTTTTCGTGATGAAATGATTCGAGTAATACTTACACGTTTTCTCTACAAAATGTTCCTAATGAAAAGGAGTGATGGTGATATAAATAAAAATTTTTCGGTGTTTACTAACACAAATTATTTTTTTGAACCAAAAAAAATGCCTCAAGAAATTCAATTTGTTCGTATCGAAGGAGAGACATCACAAGAGTTGGGGAAAAGATTTGAGGAGTTCTGTGTTATGTTGTTGAGAGAATTGGAAGTGTATGGTGCTGTTATTACGCATGTCGGGTAAGTTTTCTTATTGAATAATATATCGAGTCATTATGTATCTGAAGTTACGCTATCACATCGATGTAAATTATCTGAGAATCGAAAGCACATCGTGGCCACTGTTTCGGCAGTGAACGTTCTTCTCAGTTATCGATGTCTGGAAATGGAGCAGCCCTGCCGGATTTAATGATGAATAGGATACATGCTGGCCCCAGCTATATATGACGATGAAATATATATTCATTAATTTATTAATTTATAGGAAAAGTGGAGATCTAGGACGAGATATTATTGTGGAAATTTTTGGGATGAAGATTGTTGTTCAGTGCAAAGCGTGGTATTCAAAAGATATAGGTATGTTAATTACTAATCATAAAAACAACAATTATCAATGTAACAATTAACAAATAATTTGTTTATAGGTCGTGATAAAGTTGATGAGTTTAGAACGGTAGTGAGAGACGGGAAGTACGCATTCGGGGTTCTTGTAGGGGCTTTAGAAGAAAATTTTGCTATAGGAGCACATAAATCGGCCAAAAAGTCAGAAGGCGGTGACGAAGTTATTATTACGGTGTATAATAGAATGTGTCAAGATATAGAGTGGTTTAGCGAAATAGAAAAGAAGGTTTTGGTTACAGCTGAGAGAAGAATACTAAAAAGGGAATATCAGCTTGGCTACAGAAATCCAATGTATCTCCCAGTACAGCTCGAGAAATCAAAAACGGACAAGAGATGCAAGCCCTGGATAGTACTGAAAGATCAAGATTCAACAGCTCCGGTAATTGGTTGTGTTTTAGATGCTAACAGTGAAGATACATACTTCGAACACTGGCTAACAGAGCCCGGTCACAATACAGGGTTACTGCACCGATGTACTGGATGTAGTATAAATATAGCAAATGAAGCAAATTAATGTGTAGGCAAGAAGTCGATAATACAAGACCTTCATCAAGTTAAAAGTATTGTTAAGAAAGAGAATAAATAGTCTATGCTAATCCCTGCACCCTGGTTTTTCGCACCTACTGTTCTTGAGCAAGGTATAGAAGAGAGTTTTGTAGAGC